ACAAGAAGGCCATGAATCTTAGCCACAAAGAATACAAGCAGCCTTGGTTGACCACAAAGATAGATTTATGTACATCACTGTGGGATGCACAGGCAAAGTGCAGCATATGAGGAGACTGAAGAAATTTGTTGGACAAGATGTCATATTCTCTCCAAATACCAGGCTTATCAAGGGCACATCAGCAACTGCTGTTATTTTAGACAAACTGTTATACTGGCCTATCTCATGACAATAAGAAAATAGCATAAGTGACTTGTTCTCTGACTGGTTGCAAGTTGATGGTAGAATGTCTATTGGCAAAGCCTTTTGACTCACTTGGATGCCAGCATGGTAAATACTGTCCATATTATGGTCTTTTGGTGTGTTGTGCACAGCACAGCTGTGAGATCTTTGACTAGGAATGGGTTGGTTTGTAGGCCTGATACAGGTATCTAGAATATGTACCTGTCACTGTCATCACTAGGGCTGGGTTAAGGAAAGCAAGGGAAATAAAACATGGATTATGTTCCAATCCTTGTGAATTGTAAGGTGTCATACATACAGAAATGTGATACTGGGTACTTTTCAGTTCATATCAGTTTGTTTCCTATTGGTTTTATGTGATGAAAAGCTACAGATACAATCTCCCGATTCCTGACTCTCCCTCTTTCCCAGTTTCACACGTGTCAATGTGCAATGCTAACACACATATTAACCAAGAAAAAGACACTGAAATACCAAATCCTGTATTAAAAAAAATTACAGGCAACCCAGCTATCAATAAGTAGATTCTGCGAAAGATACAATCACATGTGCTTTGAACTGAAGTAACACCAAGTTGTGCAATTTCACTGATAAAAGAATTATCTGCTGTCTACCTGTTCTCTTTACACTTATGTTTGCATGAGGTAGAGAAAACAGGGAACACCTGTACTTTCCAAGAGTTAAGAGATTGGCTCATAGCTCATCCAACCCCAGAGATGTTCAGTGCCTGCAGAACATAGCAGCTCAATAGACGTAGCAGAGGTCTTTAACCTGGTAATCATAAGCATAAGAAACCATTCAGTCAATCCCTTCTGCTACTTTCAGGTTGCAGACACACAGCATGCTTGGGCACCTATAGGAGGGCCATAAGGGCATTCAGATTATGTGGTCAGCTGTCTAAGCTTGAGCACTACATCTGCAGCCAGCATTGCTGGAGGCCCCAAGAGTGCGTGCTTGCCTTGAACAGTCCAATGTCCGTTCTGAGATGGTTAAAAGCAGTCCAGCCCCTGTGGGACAGCTGCCATCCTGACAGGCAGAAGCTGGTGTTGGGGATGGAGTTCTTTAGCTGCACTTCTTGTGCAGCATATTTCCTGCTCCACTGATGGGAGGTCCATGCTATGACATGCCATCTACAGATTTGATGAGCTTATTGGCCTGAGTGGAGAACAGGTTCTGAGACTTCAGGCAGTAGTTGGTTTTGTGGCTTTCGGCTACTAGGCTGGAATGCAAAGAATGGTCTGGATCTCGGGCTTTAAAGCCTAGGGCCAGGATAGCAGCTTGTCTCCAGATGTAAGATGGGGAATGTCTGATAGGACTGGATAATGCTCTAATACTATTACCAGTAAAATGCTATACCAGGCTTATAAAAAGCCCAAACTGCACACCTGTGCTGAAGAGTAGGCAGGTTAAAAACTATGTTATTTCAAGCCTAGGCTGTAACCCAGGGGTGGGCAAAATGCGGCCCACGGGCTGCATGCGGCCTGCCAAGCCACTCTATCTGGCCCACGGGGCCCCTAAAGTTTAGAAAATTAATATTTAGCTGCCCCTGGCTTCCTGTCAGGCAGCCCTCGATGGCTTGCCAGAACTCAGTAAGCGGCCCTCCACCCAAAATAATTGCCCACTCCTGCTATAACCTATATCCTCAGCTGGAGAACCACTCTCAAAGCACATATAAATGGTGGGATGTTCATGGATTAAAGTAGGGTTTGTGTTCAAATTTCTACAAGAACCTAGGTTGAGCCTACAGTAAAAACAAGAGCTGATCAAAATTCAGAATTTCTGTTTTGCAGGCAATTCCTAAAGATTTGGGAAATATTTCAACTTCAGACCAGGAAAAAATTCCCAATGGAAAATAATGGAGGGGAGGGGGGGGGGGGGGGGGAAGGGTAAAAAAAAAAAAAGCTAAAGAAAAAAAGGGGGGGGGGGGGGGGGGGGGGGGGTGGTGAAGGGTAAAAATAAAGCTTCAAAAGAACTGCAGTGAAATTGAGGCTGCAAGCCCTAATTTCAACATGCTTTGAAAGAAGTCCACCAAAGTACAAATATTTTTGCAAAATATTTTGAAATCTATTTTGTCACAAAATTCAAACTAGTTCTAGTGAAAACCTGTTCTAATTCATTAGCACTATTATTTTCACTCAAGTTGTTAGCAGGCTGTACAATATCTTAAGATTCTGCCATTTGCCAAAATGAGTTTGAATAGTTACAGTTGACTGATTAACCATGGAAGATCCTGCCCACATTAGGATGTTAATATTTGAATGAGGGGGTCTTCACGCAGCCTAGTCCTGCAGACCAGAGCATCCACATGATTGAAATTCACAGAAAGGATGTGGTTAAACTCTTGACATCTTAGCACTGGAGGCCTAAATCAGCCAAGTTCAACACCTTATATAAAAGGGGGCAGACAAATTCTACGCTTAGACAGTGTGCCAGGGAGGCCAAAGAGAAAATGCCACAGCCTATTCAGCCTTAGGAAGCTTAGAGCACATGGGCCCAGGATATTAACATCCAAAAACTAGCCTGCTGAGCGCCACTTTGTTTTAGCTTAGTTGTTTTTATTGCGAAACACTTTTATCTCTTCACATAATGTTTTAATACATATCTCCACGTTATAGAACAAAAAATGCTTAACATTAGAATTTCTGTACAATTCATATGAAAGCCCACAGAGATGACGGGCTAGCAAAGCCCGCTAAAAAAAGTCATGTTGCTATCTCAGGTCTTGTAGAATCATAAACCAGAATCTCAAAGAGCATTGTACTCCATGCACGCTAGGCCTTAACAGGTGATATTCAAATCACCTTCTCCTTGTCATCAGCCCCGAAGGACATGTAATAATTATCTAACCGGGATTACAACTTTTAAACATGATATCATGTTGGATACAACATTTCTATCAAAATATTCCTGTAAAATCATGTCAAGCATATGACCTACAGACTGGATCGGGCCTGTGAAACTTCCATTTGGTCCAGCAGTAGTCCAATAGCTACCAGAAGTTAGGTGGTGGGACTAGTGGAGTATGACCTGCTGGAGAATTCAGGGTCTCTGGGCCCCAATGAATATAGATGTCAGCATCAAGTGGGAGTGAGAAAGGGCTATGATGATACAGCCCTCACCCTGCTACTACATGACTGCTCCTGGCATTGGCACCATGCCACCGGCGTCAGTCCCACACCAGCACTAGACCTGATGCTGCTGGCCTTCCACTTCTAGTCTGGGACGAGCCCCTCGGTAAACCTTTTGGACCCAGGACAATTTTGACATTCTTGCTGTAAAACATAGGAATAAAACTCCCAAACCACGAGCTGGTTCAAGATCCAAGGGTTTGTATTAAGAAATCTGCTGGTATTTTTATTTTAAGATAAAAGAAACTATTTCCAAGAACAAAAAGAAATGAGACAGGATGCTAAGTATCTATATTTTCAGAAATTATCAATAATTTGAGATGTCTCAATTGGACACTCAATATTGGTCAAAACACTTCTGAAAATGTTGGCCCCAGTAGAAAAGTCAGCCCCAAAACTGATCAACTAATTATTATTCTCAAATATGCAAATATTTAAAGTGCCCACTGAAATACTTATTGAAAAACAAGTTTGTATAAACTCCAAAGAACACCCCGCATGAAGGTCTTATGAAATCAGACTAGCTAGTATTAGAATTTTAAATACTATTAAACTCATTAGGGATAGCTGTGTCCCTTTATGTATTTGTACAGGGTGCAGCATAAGAGAATTGTGATTAACTTACCCACTAACTGTCATTTTATACTGTATTTTCTTCATGCAACAAACCCCTAAATAAAACACATGCCTCGATTTTGGAAGGGAGAATGTACAAAATGTTTTTTCAGAGTCTAGGTCAGCTGTGTGACATACAATAAAACCTAGTGGGAGTGTCCAGAAAGTGGCACCAGGAAATTACTGGTCCCAGCTGCCTCATGCAGACTCTCTCCTGGGATGACATTTCCTGGAAACCGCTGTATTTCTGGGAAGACTTAGTCACACAAGGCTGGACTCCAGACCCTTGCAAGGGCAGAAACAAGACTGTTAATTCCTTACTGTAAGTAGTTCTTTATATAAGTTCTGATACATAAAGTGTTGTTTCTACAGTGCAAGGCTCATCAGGATACTACCACCAGCTCACTTGCCGCTTCAGGCGCAAGCTACAGTGCTCATCCAATAGCTATGGCTGTGAAAAGGTTAACAGAGGAACCCACCATCATGGCAGCTATGTTGACAGCTGCAAGGCATGCATAGTATCTCCAGGCTTGCTGCTTTTCCAGCAAAGAAAACAGCTTCCTTACTTAAAATATTCACCCGTTTTGTGGAACTGATTTTTGGGGGGGAGGTGCATTTTATACGTAAGGAAATATGGTATTCAAATATTTTACATGCTTTCAAATATGACTAACATTCAAATAATTACTAGGTTAAGGTTTGAACTACTGGATATTTGCTTTACAAAGTTATTTGAAATCTAAAAGATTTTAAATGTTTTTAGATTTTGAAGTAAATTCTCTCTCACCCTAGACAGTGTCCAAGTAATTACCATTAAAGATTAACAGAAACTACAGGTAAACTATATGTATCAGGTACTGCGTGTTCAGGAGACAAATGTCAACTGACACAACTTACACAATATATGTTCATGTATTTTCATTTCTTTTGTACTAGTTAGCATAAAGCCATATAGTGATGGGAAGTACATGCAGATTTTATTCCCTGGGACAAATCCATTCCAAGGCACGCTAGTCAATTCTTTCTGTACTTTTAATAATATTGCAAATGAAATAAACTCAGTTCAAGTTTAAAGAATAAGCAACCTATCTAATTTTCTCCATGTAGGGAATGCTTCCCTGAGGAATTCCAGCAATACCAAGTAAAATCATTAGTGAAGAGAATAAGGAATAATGCCCCAAAACCCCAAATTACCAGTGACTATTTTTAGTGAGGTCTGGAAGCGGTCTTTAATTGGTCAGAACTTCTGGAGAGGCTCACTGTACTCTAAAACTTTAGAACCATTTAATATAAAGACCAGATAAACAACATATCCTGTTTCCTGTGTATAAAATATAAGAAACACGAACAAGAAGATAGGAGTTCCTTATGGATTTACAGAATTGGATTTTTTAACATTACTAAATTGATTGTTCTACCTTCCAGTGTACTGGTTGCAAGGACTTGCTTTTTTGTTGCGTATTTCCTTCAAAGTTGCAACATGTAAAGTTAAGACTTACAACAAAATTCATCTATGCAATTTGAGTATGTGCAAAAGACATAATTGGAACACGTTTTATAACAACATCATACTGGTTGGATTCCAAAACCTTGATTTGAGGTAACTTCATAAGGTATTCAGTAAAATATGCAACAGCACATTGCATATTTAAGTGCAACACACATTTTCCAAGTATACAGAGTATATGACAACCATTTTACTATTGCACTTGAAGGTTAAGCATTGATTAATTTGTTGCGTCATCCCTTTTTAGGGGGATTATCTGAAGCTCTTTGGCTATTCTCTCCCCAAGGGTTTGGCTACTTGCAGCAATTATTCTTCGTGACATCAAATCAAAAGGTCCACCTATAAAATTAAAATTTAACAATTTAATTGGTTTGTAATCTTAGAATATACATTTTGACAAAAATGAGTATTAAGAATATTTTTTTTAAAAAAGAGCAACTTATAGCCTAGCAAAAAGTGTGTGCGTGCATGTATATATGTATATATAGCCATAGATATAGGTATCTAGAAATCTATAGCATATCAAAAAAGTTCTTTTAAATCCTAATTCTCAAGGGTAACAATGTAAAAGAAAAATCCTGTGGCTAGAAAGAGACAGAGCTCTAATTCGAATTGCTTTACACTCAGCATCACCCAACAACAGAAACCTTCTACAGGAAAGACTGCATAAGAGAAGCTACAGGTATTTAACAAGTTACATTAGAAAATTACATCTATCTATGTTTGGAATAACAGAAGATGGATTTGGTGACAAATTATTAACATAAAAATGAAAACACAACCACCATATTCCTATACCATCTTTAGTACAAGTCTTCAGTCCAGTACAAATCCTGAGACCAGGCAAGCAGGATGCGGAAGAAAATTGGGTTTGGGTGAAGGGTGCCTTCCAGTGAGTTGGCAAAGAGCTATTTCACTGAGGCTGCTTCCCCTAATTTGGCCCTACTCTGGAGACAAGACTAGCAGAACTCATCCCTGAGATCTGCACTATGTACGGAATAGTTACTTGCATGACAATGCAAGTGGAGGTCTATTAAATCCTACTAAACCATCCTCCATTTTCTTAGGAATTTCCTATTGTCATCATTAACCCAATTACAAAAGTGATTTACAATCTATGGCAGTCAAATAAACAACCTATTTCACTTTGGCATAAGTAAAACATAGGAATAAAACTCCCAAACCACGAGCTGGTTGGAAGCAGTCCAGGAAGTTGTGTGCTGTGGGTGGTGGTGTCTGTGCAATCAGAGCCTTCAATCAGGATCCAGTGGAGTGGGCTAGACTTTGAGCTCACTGCCTTAGTCACTGAATTTGGTTCAAATGGGATATTACCATAACCTAAATCTTTGATAGTGGTAGGATCTATATGCGTTATTCTGAGAGCAAGTCATTGGGCTAACAGAGGAGTGTAGGTTGTCCATTTCCACTGAAACAACTGTTTGAACAGCTCATGGACTAGGCATGGGGAAGAACCTACTTCCCTACCTGCTACACAACAGAAATTACTGAGAGAGCTATGTACAGTTTCCAGGGATAGGAATCAATCCTAAATATTTAGGCTGTATCTGTGCCGTAACAGTAACAATTCTTCAACTATGCCCCACAGCCGCCCCCTGCTCCCCCGCAGTGCCTGGGGACCAACCCCTCCCCTCTCCCGAGCGCTGCCGCAGCTGCCTCTGGGGGAGAAGATGCTGCCGCCACCTCCCTTCATGTCCCCGGCACTTGCTCTCTGCCCACCTCCCGGCTCTGCCCTCCCCTGCAAATATCTGAATCCACAAACCTGGAGTTCGCGAATAGCGAGGGTTTTCTGTATTTACAAGTACTACCCTGCTATGGAGTTAATTAGTTTCCAGAGGCCTAATAGGGCCACACATGTAGACACGAGATGCTTACTCCACGGTAAACAACTCATGTAGATGCGTCCACTGAGGAGAAAAAGTACCAACCCGTCTGAACCGTCCTTACAGCCTCTCACCTGAAGCAATCATGTCATTGGGAGCTGTGCAGCAACACCCCCCATGTCCCAGAGCAGTGGTGGCCAACCTTTTTCACTGGTGACAAATTAAACCCCACACTCTCCCTGAACTCCACAGCTATCTGATCCCCAGGCAATCTGCTGCTCTGCTTTATGCTCCCTAACTGACTGCCACACCCAGAGGCTGCCTGTGCCACATGTAGCATGCAGGTTGCCCACCACGCCACTAGAGTTTCTGCCTCCTCAATAATTTTGGCTGGGTTAACACCCTTCCCAGGTTCACTGCCATTATAAACCCAAAAAAGGGGCAGAAGTCAGGCCACAAAGTGTTAACCCCCCTCCACCAAAGATACAGTAGTTCTTCTCTACATTCTCCAAATGGGATTCAGCAACCCCCTTGCAAAACTGGTATCTGATTGTAGTATAACTGGCACTGGGTGGAGAGGAAGGGAGTGGGATGAAGTTACTTATAACCTAAATGTGAATGGAGGCTGAGATTTGCCAGAGGGTTTGCTCTCAACAGGTTGTAGCAGGGCACTAAGATGCCTGCTACTTGGAGAGCCGGGATAACTCCTCAGGTGCCGGTTGCTGAGGCAACTAGAGGGAACTAGTGACCCACACCTGCCTAGTCAGCTGACAAGAAGGGGCAGGGCCTGGCTCCTATATAAATCACAGGCAGAGGCCAGGGGGCAGTTCCCTGCTGGCAGACAAAGGGGAAGGAGCTCTGCCTGAGTGAGCGAGGGAAAAGCCCTGAATGCATCAGTCGTTTGAGACTGGTAAAGGATGGAGCACTCTAGGGGTGGCTGGATTAATGTTATAGCCGGACGGCTGGAGTTGGTGTTGTAGCCCAGGGGCTTGTTTTGTTTGCTGTTTGTAACCAGCGGTTTGGGTGAGACTAAGAGGGGATGGAGGAGGCCCCACAGGGGATCCACAGCAGTGTGGGAACCCTTGCCCCAGAGAGAGGGGGCCGTGATTGAGAAGCCCGAGAACCGGAGACCCCGAGCGCAGGAGAGGGTGCAGAGGGGGACCGAACAACGTCAGTTCCATCTGTGAGGCTTGGGACGTGGTACAGGGGTGGTTGGAGCCACGCATAGCCCATAAGGCTGGGGTGCATAGAACACCCAGTACCGGAACAGGACGAGTGATAACAGGAGAACTGTGGCCAAGAGGATGAAGGGCAGCCTCCCTATAAAATACATATGACATCGAAGTCGTGGCGGGCGAGGATTTGAGAGTGCTTGTCGGCAACTTGGCACGGTGAAGGAGGCGGCAGGGGAGAGCACGGAGATGCTGCCTGTCTTCCTGTTACAAGGTACGAGGCAGGGAAGCAGGAGTGAGTGGTGTTGTGTGACATTTTCTAGTTTTGGGGTGTCATTTAGGTAAATTACTGTTGTTTGTCATTTCTTGTAAACCACTCCAAGCCTTTCTGGATAGAGCACAACATAAATCTACACAACATGTGTACTAGGGCAGGGGGGGACACTGAAAGTCTCACTGATCTCATTTTAGTTATATTTATTTTTCTACTAGACAAACAGAAGAAAAAAAAGGCAGGGGGGAGGGAGGGTTCCCAAACTCTCATGAATAAAGCACCTTTCAGTTGGCTTTGTCTTACCTGATACATCTAGCAGCACACCACCTGCTTCAGTAATAATGATTCCAGCTCCTGCCATGTCCCAGCAATGTATGCCCATCTCATAATATGCATCAGCTCCACCAGTTGCCACAAGGCACATGTTTACAGCTGCTGTACCAACAGCTCTAATCCTAAGGGACAAACAAACTATTAAAGTGAGAGTACTTTACAAAAATACTAGAATATTAACAATTTACCCACTCAGTGGACAAAGTGTACACTTATAGCAGAAAACTAGTGCTAGTGTGAAGGAATGCTGCAGTGAGAAATAAGCCAGTATGTATCTGTGTTTACTTCTGCTTTAACTGTGAACAAAACTATAAGTATGCATCACTCAATTTCAGCTAAATTAGTTAAAAAGACATAATTGAAAATATTGAACTTAGAGAAAAAAAGTCGCTTTCATAAATTATATTAATGAAATCAATTTTTTTTTCTTTTTATGGTGAAGATGTGAAGTGGGTTAAAATAACTGAAGATAAACATTGATAAAAATACCCATCTTAGAAAAAAGAAGTACTCTCCTTCATTTCTTCAGTGCTAATCTGCATGCAATATGCATTATTTGCCTTGTAAGAGATTTTAACCCTCTTTCTAATTTAACCCTGGAAGCAGCTTTGACTTCTACAAAAAAAATCTAAATGTAATGCTCAATTAAAAAAATACTTAGTCCAGCAAAACTATTACAGACCTTTGTTCAGACTTACAAACATTATATTAAATAGCCAACTTTAAATCATATTTTCCCATTTAAAAATATGGTAAAATGGAATTAGATTAACTTATTTTCCTTCCTAAAATCCTGTTTGGTGCTAAGTAGAACACTAAAAAAATAAGAGCATCTTACCCATGAACAGGAATACTGAGAAGCTTTTCCATGTTAGTCAGAACAATTTTTAAAACCTCTGGATCCCGGTTTGATCCCAGTTCTGTTACTAAAAGGGATTTTGTAATATCTGAAAAGACAAACTGATTTGTTTCAACTGTTTTACATAAAGACAATAAATAGGCATTCACAGTTATTGTAACCATTTATCTGGCATGTTGTCTTGCGTACCATATAACATGGGAGCAATACATTTTCTTAATGTGGATACTATAGGAAGAACACAGCAAAAAAAAAAAAAAGAGACACTGCCCAGCTTCATTCTGTGTATAAAGTCACTGGGGACAGTTATCTGATAAAACACAATTCTATAAGCATTAACATATTTTCATATCTTGAAGCCCACAGTCCAACACAGTTAAACATGAATTATCTTTGTTCAGGTTAATAAGCAAGTAAACAGTGAGATACTACTAAAAAAAACAAACAAAAAAACAACAACAAAAAAAGTTAAGTCCACAGTTTAAATACTTTGCCAGTTAAGTTGTAATACAGTTAGTTTTTTGAGAGATTTGTTACTGTTTCTGAACAGGAGAGTTTCAAATAGGCAGGAAATAAATTCCCCAAATGGATGAATCTTATCATTTTGCAAATCTAAAGAAAACCCAGAACACAACCCCTTACCTCAGTGGGCATTTTCCTAAGATAAAACTAAATCTTTATTTGTTAAAAATCATACTATCTGTAAAACATTCACCTTTTTCAAAATTTACTTTTAAAAAATCTGTCAGTAACTGAAATGTAATCTACCATTCTTGTCACCCCTGTCTGCCAGAGAAGCTGCTCAGTACAACTTACCTTCTTGACCCGATACTTGAAGCTTCTGGCCATTGCAAAATGCACCTTTTCCTTTCCTGCCAGTGTACATTTTGTCTTCTACACAACTGTATACAATTCCAAATTCCATCTGAAAGCAGAAAGAATGAGTCTTTTTCTCTTTTTAGCTGATGTAGAAATACAGATCTTGCATAAAGATGCTATGAATTAGATTATCTCTGTTGGACGTGAAGTAATAAAGAGATAAATTTACCTTTTTGTTTACACTGAAGCCAATTGAAACAGCCACAAATGGAAACCTTAAAAAAAGCATTTTACTAATTATAGTTCATTATTACTATATGTATTTGCAATTTCTGTTAAATGCAGATGGAATATAAATAAAGATGGGCAGAAACATACAAACCAAAACAGATACTCCCAGAATTTTTCTCCTGGGACCCAAATAGACTCACTGTCAATTATAACTGTGAACAGCTTATAGTTCAAAGGAAGGATGGAGTACTGTTAGGTTAATAGGCTCAGGCAAATGGGTGCTTTAGTTTAATTCTGTACAGAATAGGTTATAAATTACTGGTCTCTCACGGCTTGCCAACCGCTGCTTTCGTGCTGTAATCATTATACCTGAGAGAATAATACTGTGCAGAAATATGCTACTCTAGTTAAATTTGACTAGTCATATAGTCACTAGACTTGACTAGTCATGTACACGACTAGAAACAGTATTATAAGGAAGATCCAAGATGATGAATCTTGATGAATTCATTGAACGCATCTATTGCACAAGAGATTTAAAACTGTTACTTTACTTATTCCAGGGTCAGAAGAGGAAGTCTAGTTTGTTTACCAGTTTAGGCAGTAACTAGAAATAAATTTTAAAAAGTGGACCTGTGTACAAAATTAGTAGTTCCATCAATAGGGTCAATGATCCACGTAGGATTATTTGTCAAGATGCTGCCTTCTCCTGCTGCGACAGATTCTTCCCCAATGAAACTACAAGACAAAATACAGAAGACACATAAACAAACTATGAAGACAAACAAATTAAGCATAGCACTTTGAACACAGTTATTTTTGAAGCAACTGACCTCTGCCATCCTTAAAAGAAAACCAGATGCAATGCCTTAATTTTCAGATTACTGGTATAAGAATTAAGCAGCAATTATCAATGTGAAATTAAGGTGAAAACAAATGAATTGCAACTGGCATCTAAGGAAGCTAATGGTGACATCTGTGATCACATAAAATGTGTCTATTCTTTATTATTAGTTCAAAGTTGGAATTTTTTAGACATTAGTCATTACATTTTCTCATTGAAACAGTCTTTTTCAAATAACTAGTGTCATACATAAGCAATTTGAGTAAAAGGGCACAATACTACTTGTACTTAAATCTATTTTAAGTAAGTTTCAGTTTATTCTGCTGTAAAGTGCTTTTTTGATTTTTACTTTTCTGAACTGCAAGACAGAATGGACAAACCAGGTGGAATTTTCTTATTACCAGTCTATAGGATGTAGTTATTTTATATATAACCTTTTACCAGTGTGTAGAAATAAAACATGTCTTTTCTACATAAGACTGCTACTATTAGTAAAATTAAAAAAGAAAGAAAGAAAAAAACCCCAGAAAAACCCCAAAGCCTTACCCAATAACAAATGAACAAAAATCAAATCAGGTACGTGATCCTGAGTCTAATACATACAGATTTTTAAACAGCAAAATAAAACCATCTCATTAAGCATTTACTTATTTCAACATTTTAAACAGATTTAGGTCAACAGGCAACTTAATTGCTAATACATCAGGGCTATTTTATCTAGATTATCAAATTTAAAAGAACGAGTTAATGATTAAGGATGAATAGAAAATTTTATCAAACTTATATGAAAACTGTAATAAACATAAGCAATAAACCAAACTGGGGTACTTGGGAGCCGAGTTAGGCAAAATATACTATTTCTTGGAATGGAAATTTTATATCTTTCTGAAGAAGTCAGAAGGTTGATAGATAAAGGATCTGTAGAGATCATCTATCATACAAGATCAGAAGGACTCATCCTACTTCAGAACTATCACTTTCACTGTACAAATGTGGTAATTATAGTTAGAAAATAAGAAAGATTTGAATAAAATTTGCACTAAGTACACTTTAGATATTTACCATACTGAAGTTCAAGTTATCCTTTAACCTCCTGGCAGTCTCAGAGCTGAACTTCACTGAATACACATCAGATTCCATACTCGATTCCAGGGGTAGGCAACATTTTTTGGCTGGAGTGCCGAAAAATCCACAATGCCTACCCTGGAAGGTGCCGGAGTGCCAGCATGCCAGAAAAACAAAATGAAGGCAGGGGGTACATAGGAGGATGCCCTGCTTGTGCCCCTGCCCCTCAGCTCTGCTTGTACCCCTGCTGCCCTTGCCCCCCAGGCCTGCTGCCCCTTGCCCCCCAGCCCAGGCTCCATGGCTATCAGCAGCTACCCAGAACCTGAACCAGCTGCAGCCAGGAGGCTGCAAACAGCTGCTGCCTTCCCGCCCCAGCCGCAGCTCTAGCTGCCTCCCAGACCTGGCCTCCGGGGAAGCAGCAGATACCTCCGGCTCCAGGGAGGCAGCAGATACCAACGATGCTCCCTGCTGTACAGCCCTTACACATACTGCACTCCTGGCCCTGCTGCCCTCCCCTGGGCCCTCCCAAGCGCAGCGTGTGCAACCCAGAGTGGCAGCGCACAGAGGGACCACACAGGGAAGCTGCCTGCTGCTGCAAGCTCCGCACTGTGCACTGCCCGGGTCACACTTCCCCTGCGTGCATGGGAGCACCAGGGCCAGTACACAGGGTTGAGCCCCTTGCTGCTGCCCCTGCCTGCAGGGTAAGTGTGGCCAGGGCAGCGGGGCGCTAGGAGCAACAGGCAGCTTTCTGCGCTCCCTGCTGTGCCAGATTTCACACGTTGCTCTGCAGAAGTGGCGGGAAGGGGAGCACAGTGGGAAGCACTGCTGGTATCTGCTGTCTCCCCAGAGCCCAGGGCTGGATCTGGGGCTGGGGCCAGGGCTGGGAGGCAGCAGCTGTTTGCCTTCCATCCTCCCAGCCGGCTGCTCAGAGCAGCCCACGCTCCATGGCTATCAGCAGCTACCATGAACCTGTGCTGGCTGCAGCTGGGAGGCTGCAAACAACTGCTGCTTCCCCGCCCCAGCCCTGGCTGTCTCCTGGCACTGGGTTCCGGGAAGACAGCAGGTGCCGGCACTGTGCTCATTGGGGCCAGGGCCGTGTGGACAGGATGGGGCCGGCAGCAGCACCGGGCTGAGGCCATGGTTGGGGCCTTCAGCAGCGCCAGGATGGGGATGGGGCTGGGTCCCACGCAGGTCCACGGCCCTGGTTCTATGCGGGCCCCAGCCCCAGCCCCATCCCAACGCTGCCAAA